AATTAAGTCTTAGTCTTATCATTGTACTCCATTTTTTCGTCGTAATCTTATTTTTTAAATTTAAATAAATAAAACATAGAAAATAAAAAAAATTTGTAAAAAAATTGAAAATATAGTATCTGGTCATTCTTTCTAAAAATAAAAAATTCAAAAAACTATATAAAAAAGGTGAAGATAAGAAAAAAAAATTATCCAAAATATCTTTTAGGGGCTTAAATTTTCTTTGTGTAATAAGCAAAAATTGAGTATAAAATACAATATTTATAGTATTTTTTTTAAATATGTCTTACAATAGTAAACAAATTTTGAATATAAAATAAAATATTTATAGTATTTTTTTTTCAAATGTGAAGAGAGTTTTAGTTAAAATTTTGAAATTAAAAAATTTGTAGAATAAAAATGAATAAATTATAATATACTCTTTTGAGATATTATAAAATTATAAATACCATTCAAAAGTTTAAAATTTAACTAAAACTCTCTTCGTATTTAAAAAAATTACTATAAATATTTTATTTTATATTTAAAATTTGCTCACTATCATAGAAATAAATTTAAACACATGAAGGATATTTTGTATATATTTTTTTTAACTTTACCTTTTGTTTTTAGTTTTAATTTTTAATTTTTAGAGAGAATGACCATATATATATATCATCACTTTATTTTCAATTTTTTAATATTTATTTTACAAAATTTCTTTATTTAAATTTGATAAAAAAATTAATATTAAAAATAAAACATAGAGTATAGCGATGATATTAAGATAAAAAAAAATTTAATGTTGTTATTCTAAAATTTAACAAATGGATGAAATTAAGACTAAAATAATATAGATAGATGAATTAAAAAATAAAATTAAAAATTGATAAAGACAAAAAAATAGAGAGACTAATATTAACCCAACAATGATCATTACAATAATGATCAATGTCTGAAAATGATCTGTGTGTTGTCTCAGTCCAATCATGATTTGTAAGGAAAAACAATAATGTAGACATGAACTTTAAGAAAAAGAAGACTGCTTCATTTTATTTATTTATTGTTATTATAAAGAAAAAGTTCAAACTGCAGACTTCTTGAGAGAATAAAGATATGTTGACCTACAAACTCACTAACCATTAAAAATCTTGTTGGCTTCAAGAATCATCTATTTGAACTCTCTTTGAGGTTTTGTATTAAGAAATTTTTATTGTAACTAATATAGTGAAGCTAGACTAGACAAAGGCAATAGCTTCAAGAAAGGTAGTAATGAGTTTTGACGGATCATAAGCAAACTTCCCTCCAATAGATTATCTAACTTCAAAGTATCTACATGTCCAGTGTGCCTTTTAGACGGACTCTTATCCATTGCTATTGCAAGTTCAGTCTAACCCCACATCTGCTGCTGATCACATATCTTTTCTGGCCATAGACATCATAATGGTTTTGTTCCATCACTTACTGCAAAAAGCTTGAAACTCATAAGGCAACTGGTAACTGACTAGACCTCGACAATATGTATACGATGGCCAGCCTTGCTTCATTAATCTCTTGCCAACTTTTGTGGGACCCAATTTGAAAGATTCTGCATTTAATCATTTTGATTTGAATGCCATATATAAATACCGTTACGTGTAAAAAGTGTCTTTGAGACCTTAAGATGCCATAAATTCTATAGGAGATCACATATTTAATGGCATTGGAGGTACATCGATCTGGTTTCGTTAGGAACATGCACAGATGATTTGTAGAAAATATCCTACAGCTGGTTGAAAACAAGGAAAATATGGATTATATATAAGAATGAATCCATAATCACACACATATATAGTTTAACTTTTTATATTGAGGATAGTGTCCTACGTAAAAACTCTTAAATATGATATATTATACAAATCACGGTAAGGGTTAAAAAAACTCTCTATATCTCTTCATAGGTTATGTATTATGATAACATTCTTGACATTTATAATTTTGGATAAAGTTAACTCTGTCCCGGACTTTACTTTGATGGAAATTGATAACAAAATTCTATGGAGAAAATAAATATTGTCACAAAATCAAAATACAGGAGTCTAATTAACATTTTTTTTTATAACCCTAGTTTCATTAATAACTAAAACATTTTGAAAGGATGACTACAAAAATAACAGTTTAAAACCCACTATTGCAGCACTAGAATATATAAATTTGCGCAAAAGAAAATAAACCCAAATCCATAGAAATCGAAGCCACGACCACCTTCGCCGCCATTAAACCAGAGATCACTTGTCAAGGATCTTATGCTACATTAGTTTCTAATTGTCTAAGCCAAAGACAGGTGTGCAAATGAAACCATTCATTCAATGGATTCCCTTGGCCTACAAGCTCCCTTCCAACCGAACTGTGTCCATCTGAATTTAGGCTAGATTACTTCTTTCTTTTCACACTTGGTTTATTGAGTACAAGTCATTGATGGGTCCAATTTGCAACACTAGGCCAACCAAAAGATATTATTTCTCTATAGTTTCCTGTTAATTAAAGTCACCAATTATGTTGATTTAACCCTACTTAAACCTCTCTTTAGCTCATAAATTAATATGGTTTAGGCCCAAGCCACCTGAGTCTGTCGAGATTGATGACACTTAAAACATAGGTCACAGTAACTCCTAAAGAAATTTATTTTTTGGTACTTTTCATAGTGAGGTGTCATCTCCCTTTTATACGATAAATTCAATTGCTTGATTAGATGTGAGTTGCATGACCGGTAAGTTTTGGCTTAGATGCCACAAAATTCCAGCCAAATGGGTCCAATTTTACCTATGTGTTATGGCATAGTCCGAGTGATTATTGATGTTGATTAGAGACGGGTTATGCCGCTAATCTCAAATTATGGTTGACAATGTTGATGCATGTAGCAAATTGAGCCCACCAGATTTTGACAGTTAACCAACTTATTCCGTCGACTTTGCAAAGCAACGTTACAAATTAATCGTGATGGTTGCCATTGTATAATTGTTAGCATATGACATATCCACTAGCTTCCACATACAATTCTGTGCATTTAATTTGGTGCATCGGACATATCTTATTTAGCAGCCATACCAAAGTGGTAAATTTGAATACTGGTAATCAAGAAATAAACATCATCTCTTTAACTATTAGGTAGTGAAAAAAATAAAAATTTAATGAAGTTTCTAATTTTAGCATGAAATAACATGTTTTTGACCCCGATTGAATAAGTGAATTTAATTTCTAAAAATAAAAGATAATCCAAAAATATCATCTGACTGTAGCTAATAATAATAATAATAAAAGTCGTAATTTCGAATAGCTGTCGAAAAACTATATATTAAATTATAAAGGGAAAGAGTGTGTATTTTCTAAACCTAATTAATTCAATATATTTGTGTATTTTCTCCAAAAAAAAAAAAAAAATGTAACATTTTCATTAGCAACTACACGTACTGCAAAATTTGAGTTAGGTGAACGCGTGGAGCATTATGATGCGGTTTCTTAATAATGGAATTTATTAATGCTAGAACAGTCTTGATTGAAGACCTATAAAAAATTCTTTTTTTTTTTTTTTTTCTTTTTTTCCTTATTAGACTGTGGGAAGAAATCAACTTCTAAGCCTGCCTGCTCTTTAGTTTGCATATCTATGTCTGCGAGTTGCTTGTTGGAACTTGAAGTACAAGTGTTTGGAGGTTAAAACAAAAATATTCCTTTGATATTAAATAACTTATTTCTATTTATGATTACTTTTCAAGGAAGATTATACCACAGACTTAGTCCATTTATATGAACTAAAATAGTTTGCTTAAATGCTCATGTTCTAATTATCAGAAAAATAAAATGACCTTTTGTATTGTAGACTATCCATTAAATGCTTCTTTAGGACAAAGGTTTGGAGGTGTGATAATATATGAGTGAGGCATATGCAATTTTTTGTTAAATCACATATCCTATGTTAAAAAGATAAATAAAAAATGAGTAACATACAAAATTGAAACGATGTCACTTATCGGAAGATTTATATCTTTTAAATGAAATTCAATCTTAACTATTTAATTTTGTATAATATCAAAGGCTCAACGGCTCTCATAAAATTTTTAAAATCTAAATCACTTGATAGATTTTAAAAAATGAGTCCTAAGTGAGATAGATTGTTAGATCACATATTTCATATTGAAAATATAAACAAAAAAAATGAATAATCTATAAAATTGAGAAGAAACCACCTATTGGTATATTTAAGTTTTTTAAATGGAACTCATTGAGAAATTAAATTTGGAAACTTTTGTAACTTTCTTTTCTTATATTGTTTGCAATCTTTATTTCAATCAAATATTCTTTTGTTAGTTATCACTACGGATGTAACCAAAATTAAGTTAAAACTATAACTACGATCATAGTCCAAAATTTAAGCCAAAAACAGCTGGAACCAAGTTCCTTAATTTTGGAATGAGGATCATTCTCTTGCTTAGAAGATTATCATTGAACTGCTGCTATATATACTCACTCTTCTACACTGTTGTACAAAAGTTCACTCTATACACATATAAAGAACATAGTGAATGCAATGCTGTGTAGTTATTGTTTAATTATATTTTTTTTCCTCGTGCATGAATAAAATATTAGCATTCAGTTGCTTTCATACTCGTTGATATGCTTCTGCTGGTATATACAGTATTCCAGACAATGACATGATCATATATATATATATATATATATATATTTGTAGAAGTTAGATTAGAAAAGAATCATTTGCCCTTTTTATGAAAAGAAAACAACAAAACATGCCATACTCATGGTTAATTAGGTCTTGATGTGCAATAATGAACATCAATGACTAATTAAGTAGCCATGATGCATCATGATCAACATCCAAACACACAAAGTGCGTATACCTATGTTAGGTAAACATATCACCACCTACATACAAACACTTGTTATATATATTAGGGTTCTCTCCTCTTCTTTCCCTTCTTTGTAATTGAATCATTTGCAGATCTTGTTCATTATTTATATAAGAAGCCATGAGTAGAGGTGGGAGCTACGGCGGCGGGCAGAGTTCTTTGGGCTACCTTTTTGGTTCTGATGAGAAACCAAGTGCACCTCCGCCTTCGCGCCCGGTTAACCTACCGCCATATGGAGTTGACATTACCACAGAGAAGCCACCAGATAGTGATTCTTCCGAGAAGAAGCAGGTCTCAAACAACTATCACAGAGCTCAAGGCCAGAATACAGGAAACTTCATTACTGTGAGTTGTCCTCCTCAACCAGGGACATATATACTCTTAAGTATATATTTTTATCTGCCCCATATGTATAATAATTCACCTCCATCATGTTTTTTTTTTTTTTTCAGGATCGTCCATCCACTAAAGTCAAGTCAGTGCCAGGAGGGGATTCATCTCTGGGGTACCTATTTGGAGATAAGTAATGTTTCTTTCTCCAAACTTTGTCTACCTTTAGTAAAGGGAATGTGAGAAATATTATGTGGGTTTCGAATTAAATACTGTGTAAAATAAGGGATTCGATTCCCATTGTTGTTAAATTTGAAGAGTGGTGTTCTTGCATATGGTGTGTGATTTTCATGTACATGTGGCTGCAAATTAGTCAGTTTATGTGTTATAAGGTATGTAATTTGTATGGTTTCTTATCTATAATAAGTGAAGCACGATTCCTATTACTATGGCATCCTGATATGATTTTGTTTGTTCGATAATGAGGTTTGAAGTTCATTTTTCATGGCCAATTATGGATATATAAAAAAAAACCCTTCTTATTTTAGTTTGTTATGTTATGGTCTCCTAAACCATTTACAAGTAAATTCGTTAAAATCTTGATGATTTTTTTTTTTTCCTATTCCTTTCTCCATTGTGAACTAAAGATTTGTGATCTTGTCATGATGCATTAAGACATTCCTTGCATTCTTTCTAAGTAAGAAAAATGTTTATAACTGCATGTGAATATCAAAAAATAGTTGAGGAAGTGTGTTTGTGGTTTTTTTCCATGGTGGTGGCATTTGCTATTTACTACGATAAACAAGCACTATCCCTTCATGATTGGTAGAACATAATGAAATATAATGCAATATAATTGAAAAAGAAGGAACTGACACCTCATTTTCTTCTTATATTACAATTGTATTGCATTAACTTGGAGCTAAGCTTGAGATTTTCAGTCAAGTTACAAGAACTTAATTACAATTGCTTAGGTTTATCTCATTCTGAAAATAATTAAAAAAAAAAAAAAAACGAAAGAAAAATTACAGTGGTTATTGTACATTAATTAGTCCGGGTTCCCTCAAAGTCTCTTTCTTCATTACACACTTTGTACCACTTTTCCTATGACTACAGAATCTTAGTCCTCTTTGTTTCCTTCATTCTTTCAAGAGACTAGAAATTTGTGATGTTAATAGTGATTGTAAGTATTTATCTCCTTCTATGCTTTCATTTTCTTTCTTTCTATGTATGTGCAAAAAAAAAAAAAAAGTCAAGTAGAGTTTGCTTTCTGTCACTTTTATGTTACTGAAAAAGATGATTCAGCTTTATGCAGGAATGTTTTGAGGTTGTTATATTCTCCACCATCTATATTAGGAAGTAGTATCAATCTTTATACGGAGAAGATATTTGATTCTAAAGTTGTCCTGGTTTCTCTTCTCTAAACTCATTATAAGATAGTAGGTTACGGTAAGCTGACTAGTATAAAATTGAATGAGTTGGTTTGAACTAATTAAAACTCGGGACGCATCGATGGAAGGCCAAATGAGCAAAAATATAGGGATGGAAATGCAAATTTTATGGTATAGTCCAACACGTTTAATTAGTACATTAATAAAAGCTTGGTCAATGGTCATCTTAATTATATATATTGTTTTTTCCATGCTTTCTGTCGGAAAAGAAATTTAGAAGTTTATAAAAGGGGCAGCCGAATGATTGAAAATCTTAAACTTTTTTATGATAAAAATCAGTTTGATTATTATAATACACAAATCAAGACATATCAAGTTGTTGTACTGAGTTTTTCATGCATCTTTTTGGCAGCGAGATTTCAGAAGCAATTGTACAAGTACTGTGAGTTTTTCATGAGAAGTGAATGCAGTTTAATCTTCTTAAACAGAAGTTATTATTACTTTATAGTATCAGAGGATTCATTCAGAAAAGTAAACATCCTTAAACTCAGTAACAAAAGCATGTATATCCTTTCAACTATTTAGAGTATTCAAGCATACAGTTGGTGGCTTATACGTACATGCAAGCAGCACAAAAATTAATGTTCCTCTTTCTTGAACAGAAACTTGAGAAACTTTCACTATTATAGCAATACGGCTTAAGGTTTTTGACTAGAATTTTGAGTCTCATAGAACAGATGATTAAGCTATAATTGTCGTTGCCGTATAAGAAATAACAATCCCCGATGATCACTCTTGGAATATTGAAAAGTTACCTGCATTTTCTAGTTGCAGTTTAGTAAAGATTATTTTAACACAGTAAGTCCTTGTTTAATTTTATTGATACCTTTTCACTCGAGAGAAGAAATAACTCAGAATAAAAATATTTCCTAGAAGCTCTTTCATGCCTGAATCTTTGATATGGTTTCTTTAAGATTTTTTTCTTTATTATTTTTTCATACAGTTAGCTGGTATTCTCAAGTTAGTTTTTATATGTAGAAACTAATTAGTTCATTACTCTGATAAAAAAATATTTAGGTCATCTGTGCTAGAACTAGGAATTCGTGAAAATATTGTCTGGGATGAGGTTTGAATCCCGATAATTAAAAAGAGAATAAACCTCTTAAACCATCAATCAATCCCCTCAAGTTGATTTTCTAGTAGCTTGTATTCTTACAGTTAGCTAGCTGCATTCATAAGCTGGAATTAATACCTACAGTACTGTCTTCGAAATGCAATTGAATTAATGCATCCAATTCACGATCTGGCCTCTATCAATCAATCTCTCGGAAAGAGAATGTGATTTGCAAATGTACGAGTACACGTGAGAATCAGTCAATTATCAGGTTAACAGCAAGGTCTATAGGCTTCAGTTGCCAGCTTCCCTACTTGATGATATGACAGTGTATATATATACATATATATATATATATATAGATATATATGCCTTGTTCCTACTTTCATAGGTGATCAGACATTAAAATAGCTAGATGATTATTACTTGTTTGGAAAATAATGAGTTTTGTCCGTATATAGTCTTTCTCTTTCGAATAGTTTTCATTGAAATTCAATATTCTTTTTGGTACTGACGAGTGCTATTTTTTTTTTTGTTTTGTTTTGTATTTATTCCTTTATTATAATACTCTTAATTATGAGTTGAGGTGGTGCTGACTTGATATGTTTATGTCTGAAAGCATCACATATGTCATACTTAGGATTTAAATAAAAAAATTAATCAAAACAATTAAAATTTTTTTTTTAATTAAAATAATTCAAAAAATACCAAGACCAAGTTATTTTTATTGTTATTATTATTATTATTATTATTTTTATGTTTTTTTAATCCTTATAATAAATGTATGAAATTTGTCATATATGAGAGCCTATTACATTACAACTTCGAAATGTTCTTTTAATAATAAAATAATATGTTAAAAAAAAAAGAAGGAACCTAACAAGTAATTATTAAAATAAAAATATGGTGATGTACGATATCAATCAGTCACAAAACTCTAGTTAATATATTTAATCCTCGATAAAAAGTAAGAAAATTTGAATATCTATCCAATTTAAAGTGAAAAATAGGGTTGCTCTTTCAAAAAAATTTGTCGATGCACCATATTTCCCTTCAGGCATAGACATTTTGTTTTGTTTTATTTACATCTTTTTATTGTAACATTGTTAATTCTAAACTAGGTTTTCTTGATATGTCTATTCTTTAAAGTATGACAAGTTTCATACGTAGAATCTAAATAAAAAAATTCAATCAAAATAACTCAAAAAAAATATAAGATTTCAATCAAAATAATTCAACAAAATATAAAGACCAAATTATTATTATTTTAATTTTCTTGTTATTTTTTTAAATCTCATAATAAATACATGAAATTTGTCATATATGAGACCTCATCGCATTAAAACTCCAAAATGTTTTTTTAATAATAAAATAATATGTAAACAAAAACTCTAACAAGTAATTATTAAAATAAAAATATGATGATGTGTAATATCGATCCGTCACAAAACTCTAGTTAATGGGTCAAATCCTCCATAAAAAGTAAGAAATTCTAAATATTTGACTAAATCAAAGTGAAAAATAGGATTACTTTTTCAATAAATAAATAAAATTTGTCATTGCACCATATTTTCTTTTTTTAATATAGATAATTAGCTACTGGTCAACATTACTATTAATTTTATTTTGACGAACATATTTGTGCTTTATTTTTTTTAAATTGCATGTCAAGTTAATTTTGTATATATTTTATTATTTTTAAATTATTATAATAGTTTTGTTTTAATTTCTTTTTAGATTTTTACTTGTCATGGAGTCTCACACGTGACGCATTTCACATCATTCAACATGAGGTCTTAAAAACATAATAGAATGAGAAAAAAAAAATTTGATCCTTGCACTCTTTGAATTATTTTGATCAAAACCTCATATTTTCTTAAAAATTATTTTGATTGAATTCCTCTGTTGGGATCCCATATATGAAACGTATCATACTTTTGGAAGTGGACACGTCACGTCAATTCGTAACTAATAATATTTTGATGAAGGGATGGAAATAAAATACAATGAAGAGTAGATGGACTCAATCAATAAAAAAGTACAAACTTTGAATCAAAATAATTCAAAGAGTCTAAGGGCCATGTATGGCCAAAAAAAAAAAACATGTTGATTACTTATGTAAAGAATAATATATGATTGCTTGTGATATCTTGATTAGAAGTCATGAAACCTTAATCAAATTAATAGCAATATGTTAAAGAGAAAAGAAAACCACTTATAAGAAAGAGTTTGATCTTCTTTAAAGTTTCATAGTTTTTTTCATGCTATTTTAATTAGTTGAGTTAGAAGTGATGTGTCTAAATAACATTTATCATCATATTATTATTGAACCGAGTCTTGATGACATCACAAGCACACTTAACGAATGACTTGGTCGACCATAATCATCCCTATAGATGCACCACACGAACATATCTCGAACGTTCTACTCGAATATCCAAAACCAAATTTCAAAAATCATGAGAACAAAAAAAGTACTTTCATTAAATAAACGAGACATTCCTCGGGGTATTCTTGTACAATCAACATCAACTATGATGTCACTATAGTCGTCTAATAGTGATAAATTAACATCAAGAACATCGACCTAATAAATTGGTGTCGGGAGCTATTGACAATAAGAGAAAGAACTATCCTATCTTTCTCTTTATGTAACTTGACTAAACACTTGGCTATATAAATAGCTAAATGG